ATGAACTAAAATCAATCAACTCTCCATTCTTCTCCCTCGCCCGACAAACCATGTGACTTGATGTGCGAGAATCTCATCAGTTGTTTTGATTTGATGAGAGAATCTAGTCCATAAATTTATTTGAGAGAAAATGAGAGTGAGAGAGAAGAGCGTAAAAAAAATGTTTGATTGTATTTGTGAGAGAATTTCTCAAAAAATTCTGAGAGAGAAAAAAATATTCGCAAAGTGCTCACAAAAAAAAATTCTTCCTCATCAAGCACATACATCACAAAACAGAGAGCAGAAAAAAAAGTTTATGCGATTAATTTCTCGCTTCTTCTTTGCCTTCTTGTATTCAGGAAAAAATATAACACAATATTTTATGGACGGGAAAAACTAACAATTGTCCATTGACATAAACTATGTATGGACTTTTTTGTATTGTAAGAGAGGAGGTCGAGCTATCGTTCTGTACACTCATCAAAATACAATCGCCATCAAATAAATATATAAATTGTGAATGTTGCATGGCCCCGATTTTTTTCTTCTTTTCTATTTTTTTCTGTTGTAACATAAATCTCGTATAAAATATGTCGTAAAAAAATCCTACAAAAAAAACTATATCAGATATAAATTCACATAGAGAACACACAAAAAAAATTGTAATATATCACATAGATAGCGTGTGTAGATCTCTATGGGATGTGAAATGAGGTGAGATGAAATAGATGCACAGAAGTTGACCCATGGGGATTTTAATGATTTCATTTTTGGTGGAAAAAGTTAGGCTTTAATGGGTTGGATGGGATTATTTTTTTTTTATTTGAAAAATTAATAAGAATCCCGAATAGCACAAATCGGTTAATGGAATAGGAATCCGGCATCGAGCTGGTGTGATTCTGGCATGATGCTGGATTCACATCGAATTCGGCACAATGTCAGAGTTACCACAAATTAGTGCCGGATTTCTATTCGATTATCAGATTTGTGCTATTCGGGACGGTTTGTAAATTTTAAAATGAAATATTGCTGGTATGAAAGGCAATTTAAGTATGTCTGACAAGCATTCTAAATATATTCTCTGATTTTATAAAATCTTTACTGAAATCAGGACTTTTCATCCCGCCCAATACTTTACAAAACAAAAATTCCACGGAGCATAGTTTGAAAAACACTGAAATACACTTTGATTGAATGTAAATCAACTATAGAGTCCTAGGGAATATTTTTTAAGGCTTTCTGTGGCTCCCTAATCAAGAATTAAAAAACGATTTAAAGCAGAGTTGCGAAACAGGCCACCTGTGACAGGTGAGAACCGTTCAATTCCTTGATAATTTGTATGGTTTTGTTAGAAAAACCTTATAAATTATCATGGAATTGTAGGGTTCTCACCTGTCACAGGTGCCTGTTTCGCAACTCTGATTTAAACGAAATTTGACTGTGATGAAGAAACAGTGACTCAGGATCCTGACCAACTAGCCTCAGATTTCTTTTTTTTTCGTCAGTTTTGAAGCTTACAAAGACGATGAATAGTGAGCATTCAGTCAATGAATCAGTGACATAGCAAAAGGGGCTCTGACCAGCTTAAAAGAAAACAATATTTGAATTTAAATTCCAGAGTCGCGCTGGCATGGTGTTGGATTTCTATTCGATTATCCGAATTATGATATTCGCGTTGATTTGCTTCTGTGATTTTTAAACTATTGAACCAACATCAATCTACAATCAAGTCATGAACGCTTTGGCAAAAGATCTAATATTCTGACTAAACTTGGCTTTGACTCATCAGCCTACTTTCAAATAAAATATTGAATTTCATCAACGTTAGAGGTAGAGTTTAATTGTTGAAATGCGTATGCTAAGAATAAAATCGATAAGATATTAAATGAAAGGTTCCACAGAAATAATTAATTTCAATCAGTAAGACGTCATTTTCTATTGAATTCGTTAAATGCCTGATTTAAAAATAACTTTTTAATGTCATACGTTGAATGAAATTTTCTAATGAGTTCTTAATAATTAGCTGTTGAATGTAGGAACAGAAATAATTATTTTTATGTAAATTCATAAAAACTCTTTAATTCTTTATTCTGAAAAATCCTTTCATACAAACCTTCTCACAACGACTAAAATATCTTTTCACTTCACTAATCCAGACAATCATCCAACACGTCTACGTCAGTAACTACCATCTACTCTCGTTACATTCACATCACCCGAGAAAACTCACAAAAATTACTTTAATGACATTTAGAGACTACCGTTGAGAATATAATATGGATCCGAACATTATTACCATTAATAATCACGTGTTTCATTCAAAAGAAGACACACAACGCAGAAAATGATAATCATTTATCTCAATTCCGCATGAAAGAGTTTCTGCAGATAATTTTCTCTGCCATCGCATGTTTCTATTTTATTCTTGCTCTTGAATTTTTTTTCTTCTTCTTCTTCATTTTTTTGGGGATGAATGTACGTAGTAATTGAATGTAAACATTATTTTCTATATTTTTTGTTTGGGTTCAGTTGAGTTGTGATATTAATTTTTTTTCTGGTTCAATTTTTCTTTCGTGCTGGCTTTTTTGGACGTTTGTGGAGTGAATAGTTTTGTTTTGTCTGTTTTTAAATATGCTAAGTTGCCAAATCAAGTTAAAATCAGAAAACTTAAAATTCATGAATTTTGTTTGAGTTTTTTAGAAGTAATGGGTTCAAATCCTAATTTGGGAGTTTGATAAAATAGATTTGTTATTAACAATAATAGGTCATTCACTTATGACTTATGACGTCCTTCAAAAAATATGATTTCTAGACTCCCCTTCCCCACCCTGTCACAAATGTATGTAGATAAAATTTCCTTTGCTTGAGTTGTCACAAAATCTCAGACTTTCTTCTGCCTAAATCTTGAACGTCATACGGGATCGTTTAATTATTATCAACGGTCAATTTTCAAAAAAGAACAATGAATTTCCAGGAATTTCTATTGTTTTTTTTTTCTTGCTGACCCCCCTCAAGACGTCATAAGTGAACGACTCCTAATAAAAACGTGACTATAAAATCATTATCACTTAACCTGAATTGTCATAAGTGGATGTCCCTTGATGTTAATGCTTAGAATGATTTTCTATAAATTTTTCAACCCTCCTTAAAATTGCGCTTAATACTTTACACTATCCAAATCACTTTCCAACTCTCAAGCTCTATTTTCGGACAATCATGATATATCTACATGAACGATACTATAGAATTAAGTGTGAGAGTTAGACAACGAAATTGGGCGAGTTAAAATGAGAATAAAGAAGAATGGAAAAAAGAGGAAAATAAAGCATTAGAATTATAATAATATCGTTTTAACTAAGGGATTGATTTCTAAATCATCATCGTCATCATGGACGATACAAGGAAGGCATTTTTTCCTTCTGCCACACAAAATACACAAATTTTTTTATTGTGTTTCTTCATGTCAGATAAGCTTTTTCCGGATATTCCTTTTGAGCAGATGTTTTTGGGTGGGTGGAAGCATTACTCTTGGATTGCGGGCTGTCCAGTTATGTGGAAGTGTGCTGACATTTGGACCTTAATTTTTACATAAGGCAGTGTACTGCAGTTACATACTCGGCTTCAAACTAAAAGCTTGACATCATTTTTAAGCAACCCCATGCCACCAATTCTGATTAGCTCAGATTTACTATCTTGACTCAATACAAGCATTAAGGCAACTCAGAAATCATCATAAAAAATACAGCAAATGCTTGTAAATGCGCTCATGAACCACACCAGCCCAAAACTTTCCCTCCTGATTTTTTTTTTTGTTTAAGCGATTCCATTACCCTTAATATGTAATGTATACATTGAGCATTTTGATATAACTTTTTTAATATAGCACAAGAAGAAAAAAATGAAAATTTCTGACATAAAGTTTTTCACTTTTCAATTTTTTTTTTATTTTGCCTCTCGTCTCGTATCGAAAAAATTTTATTATACATTGTATGAACAGCACAAAATAAATGAATAGCGACTGGAAAAAAAAGTCCAGTGGAGAAATTTGTAGAAAATTTATGTATTTTAATTTTCATAATCTACTGGATGGAATTAATTTTGAATGAATGTGGAAACGAATTTTAATTATTCACAAGTGATGGCCTTTTTTACATTATATGAACTTGTGGGCTGTGGGGAATATGAGAGTAAGAAAGAGAGGCTTTATTCATGCTTTGTGGTTTCAGTGGTCTAATTTTTATTCAAAATTTAAATTGAAAATGTAAGAAGATGGATGAAAAGAGAGCAGAATTAAGGTTTCTGGTGACTTATTAAGGAAATGGGAATTCATTTTCGATTGGGATCTTTCTGGGATGCTTGGGGTATTTTTTATAAATTTCCGGTTTAAAGAGTTTGAAATTTAGAATGGATAGAAGGTTCATTTATGAATAATTCTTCGGATAATTGAAATTATTTTGATGATGGATGTGATTATGAGCAGGTATTTAGACTAATTTAAACATATAATATGGTTTGGGGTCTTTTGTGTATGATGTGCATCAAAAAATGTCTTTCGGTGCACAATGAAGAAGGTAGGGGCTATTAAGATGTCATTTTCAGTTAAAATAGTCAAATATATTGGAACTTACAAGAAGAAAAATAAAATAAGTTTTTAAAGGGAAGGTCAAACTTCTTTTGGACCTACCTATGCCCTTGGACCTAGCTTTCAGACGACTCTTGATTCTACCGCATCAATCCAACCCACAAATAAATCCCCACCAGGCTCCCTGTAGTATCCGCGTATTGGCCAGAAAACATCAACCAAACAAATTTGTAAAAGGCAGTAACATCAACATCAGCAGCAGCGGTACAAAAAAAAAGTTTTTAAGCAAACACAAAAAAATTCGTAAGCAAACATGACGTCGTAATCGTAATGTCGCTATTTAATCTGAAAATCACAAGGTATATTTTTCATTTTGCCGTTTTGGTTTGGTTGGATGACTTGCCATTGGTAATATAATCCATAATCATCAAACATTTACCTGGGCTTGTTTGCCAACTAAGTCCTCCTATAAACATTTTCCTGTAAAGATAAAGAAAAGATGGAAAAAAATTAGTCAAACATATCAAAAATAAATGCGGGTGAGATGAAAAATAAAAAGTTGCACATGTTACTAGTTTTCTAGGATTCATCCATCTTAATCCAGACATAAATCCAAGAACAAGAGGAAAAACTGCTGTAACAATCAATTTATGAACATTCATACATGCTTGTACATTTCATCCATTCGGATTGAATCAAAAAAATTGATTTTTCATCTCAGCACGAAGAAAGAAACTTCTTCTTATGCTTCCCCCGTCTCCCTCCAAAAATACTATTCCAATTTTACTTTAAGTTTCATTCAACGACGAGGATGAGAAAGAGAAAAAAAATATATTTATTGGAGAAAGCTTCCACATGGTGTCCTTCTTCTGAGCCATTTTCTAAGAAGAAAATGTAATGAAAATTTGTTTTGACTGAAGGACTTGTTGAGTAACTTGCGAGGAATAGGAATGTGCAGAAATCATAAAAAAATTTTATGACGATCGAAAAATCGATATGAGTCAAATGGGAAATGATTTCAATATTGGCGGGTATCGTCTGTGAAGACACACAAGGTAAGATGAAGAAAATCAGGGGAAAAAGTTTGATTTGTTGTAGCTTTTAGATGCTTGTTTAGGGGGAAGACTCATGAGATTTAGGTAAAGAATGGAATATTGAATGTTAATCTTTTAGCTAGGGAGTTACTGATTATCAATAATGCCGTAAAAGTTGGTTAAATTCTTTGTTTAAATTCAAAAAGTATTTATTTATTTTTCATTTACCTAAAATACTATGATAAGTGGTCGATAGGGAGAATTAAGGGTAAGGCTTTCAACAGGGGTTAGCTACCAGTAGTCATTATAGCAACTCAAGGGGTTTTACCCCTCTTTTTAGTCAAACGCATTTTAAGGAACCTTTTTTAATTTTTAGGAAGTTTAAGGCTATGTGTTCCCCCCAAATCTTAATAATTTTAGTGGATATACACTTCCAAAACCTCCCAAACAACACCAGAAAAATTGCTGAAATATCATAAAGCCTTCCATAATCCCCAATCTAAAAATCCATTCCACACACACACACACACACACTCCATACTAATAACTTCCTTACTCTCCTATATAACAGCGAACAATAAAGCAAATTGTAGGTCGTAGTATTCAGTACAGCAGTGTAGCATGCGGCATAAGGCGAAATAAGAAGAGAGCGAGAAAAATGAATCATTCAAGCAACAACGAACGCCAAAAAAGCGAAAGTTTTCTTTTTTTTTGCAACAGAAAAAAATATCATTGCCCCCTTTTTTTTCTATTTGTTGAGGAAGTGAGTAAGAGCCAAAAAAATATTCTTTCCATCTTTCTCAAACTCATTTTACGTGTAGATGGATATAAATATACTTAACAATCCAACATAATACCTAAAGAGAAGATTTTCGTTTCTTCTTCTTAACGTGGGTTATTTTTACAGATTCTAAAACGTATGGAATGCTTACGTATGCTGCTTTTCGCATACACATAAACATATATACTTGCAAGAGCAACGAGAACTGATATTAAGGATACAAAGCACACACGTGTAAAGTAAATAATGATAAATTGTATGATGAAGGGAAGAGTAGAAAATATAGAGAGGTGCGTAAGGAGCCCATTACACATTTAAGAGAGTACCAAATGAATCGTAAAATAGCTGTTGGCTGTTAAAATAAAAAGAATGAAAATAAGAAAACTTTCGACAAGGCATTAGAGAGGCTAAATTATAGTTTACGATGCTGAGAGGTCCCTTAATGTTAACGCATGTTCTCTTTTTCCTTGATTTTTATTGGAATCGCTGTGTAAATGAGTGTGTATGTTGGACGGCTATTTTTTATGTATCTGAAATTGCTGGAGAGTTTCACGGTCATTTGGGGGTTGGATGGATATTAAAAGAACAAAGAAGAAGGTAGGAATTGCTCGTGGCTACAACTTTGGGGCATTCGAATGGCATCTATAAGATATTTATTCATTATTTTGATTAAAGGAGGTACTTTTCAATTATTTTGTGGACAACTTATCTTGAGTATTATTGAAATGGAATGGAATTAGTGAAAAATACTTAAAGATACTTTAGTGGACCATTTATAAATGATGTCAAATAAATCATACATAAATTTGTGTGAAAGTGTCACGCAGTGTCAGACGTCTTCTTGTGCCTTAAAATGGGAAAGATGAGGGGAGAGGGGGGAGTTGTTTTCAAAGAATGTCTTGAACTGATGGAGGTCATTTCTAAAGAATACAATATAAGTATCTTGCATAATATGCCAGCCAATTCCATGATAACTTCAAATAAAATATCAAATGGGAATCAAACTCATATTCTCATATTCTTAGCAAGTTGGCCTACATATGTCTCTATACCCCCCAAGTAAAATATGCACTGACACCACAAAATGTGAACATAATGAAAATTCTTCATAGTTCACGTTCACTTATGACGTCCAACATTTACTGGGGGGATAGGGGTCAAAAAAATTGTGACATCAAATTTTTTAATCAGGAAAATCTTGGATTGGAGGACGTCACGAGGGGGTGAGGGGAGGGGGTGACAAAAAGGGGAGAAGAAAATCATCCGTCATAAGTGAACGGCACCAATATTTACATTTCACAAAAATACAAAATACTTAAAGTCAAATTTAATTCAAATTTTAAATCCCACTTGAATCAAAAGTATAAAAAATTTCATTCCAAGAACTCCCAAAAAATCCGGCACAACGTTCTTCATAAGAAGGAAGTCGAGTATATTAAATACAAAAAACGTACGGAAATATCGCACTCAAAATTATTTGCAATTCAATTATCATCATTTATTTATTTTTATTTAAAACATTCAATGGAATAAAATGCTCCGAGAAATAATTTTTTTTCTGTTCAATTTTTCTCAGAATGAACAAATAATTTTCCAAAGCAGTGTGAAAGCTCATTAAGTATTTACAAGAACAACAATGAAAGGTATCAGCCTTGAAATTTCCTTAAGGCACTTTCGGCACATAAAAGAGATTTTTGAGGAGGAAAAATATTTTTACTTTTACAGACAAAAAAATAAGGAATGAAAAAGAAATTTCCAGTAAATTAAAAGGATTAAATCATTGATTTTAATTAATTAAATTCTTCTTATATTTTTAATTCATTAAAAGAAAATTTTCTGAACACTTTGTAAATGTAAATGAATGTAAATGAGACTCCAAGGGGATGGTGAAGTTAAGTTTTTGGAATAAATAATTTGAAATAAGTGAGAATTTTTGTTGTTTTTGGAAAGTGTTTTTTTTTTGAGAATTTAGTGATTTTATGGGATTGTTAATTTAATTAGGTTGGGGGTTTATTATTAGGTAAGTCAACAACCTCATTCAAAAGATTTGTTTGATTTTTTAAAAAAAATTTTTGGTTTTTGTAAGCAATTATGTGCCAACCCCAGAAATTACAATCCAGTTCGAACTATTTTTCTACTAATTAATACAATTAATACAACAAAAATCTGAAATCCAATCCAAAACCATAAATATTTTAATCACCATATCCAATAACTTATGTAATCAATTTTAAATAATATAAAAATTAATTTATGCATCCACCTAACCTTGAATTTAAAATAATGATCCCATTGCGTCATGAGCAAAATAATGGTTAATTTAATGACCAAAGGTCAGTAATTACATAACGTAGACAGTAAAAAAAATTCTATCGTCATCGTAAACGTCATAATTATTTTGTCAAAAAAAGAGAGATTGAACAATCAGTTGACATGTGTAAAAATATGTAAATAAAAACAATAAAGCTATTATGAAGATTAAATGACAGTTCGCGTGCGATTCGTATTGAGATAATGAATTCACATGGGAAGTGACAATAAAATAAGCTGATTTCTTTAAAGATTGAAATATTGAGTGATTTTTGTGTAATTAAGATTCAATAATTATGTAAGTCCAACAAGAAACATCATCAATATTAATTCTCGATCAATCGACAAAAATTAACCAATACTCAATATCCTATAATGACTTACTAACTAATCCCAGTCAGATTAATGAAAAATTATACACATCCAATCAAGCTGAAGGAATAACAAAAGGAACTGAGATAATTGAAGTCAAATTATTATTACGTATTTGAATAATTTATTAAGTTTATTATATAATCATTATTTTGTTATTGAACTGTACGCATGAGATTGAATGAGATGAGATGTTGTTGAAGATGGCAATAAATAGATGAGAACGAAGAGCCACTCAAAGAAGAAGATTCTTTTTAGAGGGAATTAAAATTATGAGGTCATGGACTTGTGTAGTGTTGCTGGTTATTCTGCAAGAATAATAATTGATTGTTTATTGACTTTATTAATCAGGTAGGCGTGGGAGGGGGAAGGCTATGTTTTCTCGCGAGAGAACTCTATTCAGTCCAAAGAGTGTCAACTAGTCCTCTAGTTTACTGTATTTAAAATTTAAACATATCCATTAATGAGGGTCTACCTCCAACACAACCCCTGAAAAATTCTACCCATAAAATACTTAACAGTTCAAATTATTTTCACTCTCTATCTTCAAATTCCTATTCCGAAAATAAAATTCCTTTGAGTGTCAGTTTCTTTTTCATCTAATTTGCCTTCTAAGAACAGAATCTACAAATATCTGAACTTCAAATGTTGTTGTTTGTTACATTGTAGTGCGCTATTTTTTGCAGATTCGATTCTTTTTCTTGCTCATTTACTGTTGTCGTTATTTTTCTTCTTTATCGTTTTTTTTTTGTCAATAAGTACACTATCAATGATCTTATTCTCTTCTGCTCGCATTTGATTTGCAATCTTTGAGTTAATTTACAAATAAATTCATTTGTTTTTTTTATTTTGATTTGAAGAGATTATGGAAGGATTGTGATGGTGGAAGGGTTGGTATGGAAGCTAGTTTGTTTTTTGGTACAAGTGATGTCATATCAAGAGAAAAGTCTGAACTTCTTCTTTTAAGCTTAATGACAAA